ACCGAAAAAGTATTGAAATCTAATTTTATTTACTCAATAAAAAAAAGTTAATTACTTAAATAATTTAGTGATTATCTCTTTCCATTAAAAATAAGAGATTCTGAATTCAAATCAGATGGTATGTCGATGGTTTAAGATAAGAGATGAAAGATAGTTGTCTCTTATTGTACAATTAAAAAAAAAAAAGCTTTTAATGATTTATTTAAAATATAAATTAAAGTATCTTTTTTTAAAATGGTGATGGATAAAGCTTTTAAAATTCAATACCTACCCACCTAATTGAAAGGACTCCTAATTTGCAAATGCTGACACTCAACAAAGTTAACAACGTTATCATTGTGTTCATAAAAAAAAAGAAAAAGGAAAACAGAAAAAGGAAAAAACAATGTTATCATTGTAAAATTGAATATGATGTAATAGAAGTTCATATATGTGTGACGTCATGCGCAAATGCAAATCGAATGTAATAAAGACTTGCACAACATATTTTATAATTTAATGAAACAATAGACGACTATTTAGAGTTGCGTGTGAATGAAAATGCCTTCGGTCATTTAATCTCATCTCGTTATTTTACTTTCCTTTTTCAAGATAATTGTGATTTTTTTAAATTAAAATTTTAAAAATAATTTATATGTTTATATATATATTATCATGAAATGATTAGTTAAAGTAAATTAATAATAATATTAATAAAGTACTAGAAAAACTATTTACTCATTTAATTGGAGTATATATTTTAAAATTAAAAAATAACAATTAGTTTGAAATAAATTTAAAATAAAAAATAATTATTATTTTACGATAAAAAATATATATGGTAGTTATTTTGTCCTAGAATAAATGTACTAATTTTTAATTCAAAATTGGTAGTATCTTGTGGTGTATTTTAGAAACTTTATTTTATAATTTAAATTATATTAAATTATAAAATATAATCCATTAAATGAAAAAGGGTCTCTAATATTAAATGACTTAACCTCTATTTTTTTTTTTTAACAGATTTTTATAAGGGACTGGGTTCGAACCCAAGCCCTGGAGAGGGAGGAATGCACTACAAGTGGTTATTGCCACTTGACCCGAAGGGTTCGGTGCAACTTAACCTTTATCTAGTATTTAGTATTGTGCGGTTTCGTATTGAACTACACAACATTTTTTTCATTTTTTTTATTTTAATTTTATTATTATTTTTTGATTTTAATTATTTACTTTTTTTTATTTCAAAATAACCATTATTTTTTATTTTTTAAAAACAAAAAATATTTTATTAATTGAATTTAACAGGTACTCCAAACCATAAACAAACTATGATATTCTTCTACATACGCCGTGGTAATCAGGTAAAAAATTTTCAGCTATCTTACCATGACACAACATGGCCCAACAAATCCAGTCAACTACAACAGGCATATATACCAGCGACTAGAATACCAGCAAACTACGCATACAATACCAACCAAATCTAACTTCTTCAAAAAATTCATACCAACTTAGCTACATATACCAACAGAACTACAGATACCGCTACCGACTTTCTTCAAAATTCATATCAGTTACTTTTTTTTTTTTTACAAAGTAATGGTTAAAAAGTTAGTATGAATTAATTGTTAGTAACTAGTTTTTAGATCAGGTGAACATTTTATCCTCTCAAATGAGACGCGCGACTATCAGGCCGCTTTTTTGTGAAGTTCACGACGATAGTAAAATTCAAAACTTCGACCACTTCACCTAAATATTTAAGACTTAAAGTCGAATTATTAGGATTAAATGCTTGGTTGCATATCAGCTACTTACATATACCAGACTTGTGATTATAGCGGGTAGGTACGGACCCCATCAGTCCCTTATTACAAAGGACAACTCAAATTGATTGTTGTTTTTCTAATTATTAAGGGGGATGTATATTTTTTTATACTTTAACGTTACGTTTTATCTTAACTTTAATTATTTATTCAATTACCAAAATTTTCTGTTTTATCTCTTTGTTAAGGATAATATGAATAAATATATAAATTATTTTTAAAATCTTAATTTGGAAATAAAAATAAAAAATTACAGTTATTTTAAAATAAAAAGAATATTTTATCACTAATATTTTTTTAATAATCTTTATTTTTTTTCTTAAAGTTAATATAGGAAAAAAAATTAAAATTGTTTACAAATTTATAATAAAAAAATAAAATCACATGGCCCTAAAGACTCAATGACACTAACCATTAAAGAAGTGCATTCCCCCATTTCCTAGGTGGTTTTGAACCCGCCCATGTCAAAATGTTCAAAAAAGAAAAATAAAGTCAATTATTTTGAGATAGAATATAAAAGAATAAAAAAAGTAAAATATAATTTATTTTGTAAAAACTATATTTTATTTAATTAATAATAAAAAAAACAGACATTTAAATGTTAGAGACTTATCTCTCTATTAATAATTAACTGTTTTGACCGACGGTAAAACAACATTACAATGAAGAAATATTTTACTCAAGCCGATGATTAAAAAGACACCCCCTATGAAAATTGTGTATGTAAGTTTAACGCAAGACTTGCATTTAATCTAAAACTAATTGGCAATAGGTAGAGTAACTCTTCTTATATTTAATCCACAACCTTCTTATTTTTATACTCATATGAGATTTTTTCACTTAACACGTTTCCTCACATGTAAACCTGCTATAAATGTCAGGTCCTGTTACGTGAGTTAACACACCCCCTTAAATGTAAGTCCAGTACCTTCAAATTCGGGTGGGTTAACAATGTGCTTCCTAAGATAGAATATGGGCTCTGATACTATATGAAAATTGTGTATATGGGCTCAACACAAGATTTGTATCTAATTTAAAACTAATTGGCTATAAGTGGAGTGGCCTTCCTTGTATTTAACCCACAAGCTTTTTATTTTTATACTCGTATGGGATTTTCCCACTTAACACGCCTCATTACATGTAAGCTCACTATAAATGTCGGGTCCTTCCCTTAAATGCAGGCTTAGTACCTTTAATTTTGGGTCCTGTCAGGTGGATTAACAACAAGTTTCTAAGATAGAATCTGAGCTCTAATACTATGTGAGAAATGTGCATGTAGGTTCAACACAAGACTTGCATCCAATCTAAAATCAATTGACAATAGGTAGAGTGACCCTTCTTATATTTAACCCACAAAATTCTTATTTTTATATTTGATGTGAGATTTTCCCACTTAACACAAAAAAAAAAAAAATGTTGCCTAACAGTACAACAGGGATTAAAACCATTACTCTTGGGTTGAGACTCCAGACTTGTAATTCCCCTAACTCTACCCCCAATGTATAATTACCTTTGCTCAAAATAAATAAATAAATAAAACCAATTTAAACAAGCATAATGATTCATAGACACAATAAACAAACACCCTCCTCATCACATACGCGGTTTAGAGGAAAAAATAATATTATATCTTGATAAACGCTTATCTTTTATTTGTTTTGAATAGTCTGAAATTTAGACTTGTTTTCCCATAAAGATCTCAATGAAGCACAATCACCCTTCTTCTCTATTTCTCCCTTGGCCTTCACCTGCAGCACTGATGTTGAGCCGGTATTGATGACATGTCCCCTCTCCTCTTTTTCTTCTTCATCTGACTTTTCTTCTTTTTTATCATCATAGTTACACACCCTACATAGTTACATACTAACGGAAACCATTAATATGTAACAAAAATTGTCAATTTTATCGACATAATTAAGTAATGGAAACGGTTAGTGTGTAATGAAATATGTAACTTTATAAAGTGTACCAATTATTTTTTTAAAACAAGATTCTTATTATCGTATGTTTGAAACTAGGAATAGAGCATAGTTTGGTGAATGACTGCGGGGTTAAGTGATTCTTTTATTCCTAACTAGGCTATAAATGTATTTTTGTAAGGAGTATGATCCACTAGGTGTTGAATCAATTGGTACATGAATCATTATCCTTTAAACAAATAATATTAATGATTAATGGATTATTTTTTAGATGAAAAGCAATTCGTACATTTTTTGGTTCAACAAATTTTTTGATTCTATTTAGTTCAACTAATATAATATAAGTACAACTAGTTTTTACATCCTATCTTTTATATATAATTGTATCTTTAAATTTCTTTAT